TTAAGAAAATCGATCGATGAGCGGGAGGTGAAGCGACGCGCGAGATACTATGTTTATATTTCGGGTCGCCCGTTGCTCGCGCTCGCTGCCGCGCTCGCCGCCCGCGCCGCGCTCCCCGCCGGGCCTAAGTTTTTTTCCACCACGGTGTATCTCGCGCGTCGCTCCACCTCCCGCTCATCGATCGATTTTCTTAAATGCCTTCCGAGTCCGGCCTACCGTCTCCTGCATCCTCATTCGCTCAAACGTGTAAATTTATTACTCGATAACTATTGTTACTTTGTACCGCGGTACATGATATTTCTCCTTAGTTTAACCCAATCTACCACTATTTTCAAGGTGGCTACTTTTGCATCAGACACCCTGTATACATACATATACTAATGTAGATTAGATCTTTCTAAACGAAAATGTCTCTATAAAACACTTATAAATTTCTGGTATTATTATAATAATTTTACTTGTATTTTTTATAATTTTGTAGATCGCCACAACTTCAAACAGAAGTTACAAGTACAATTGTCCAATTAAAAAGGAATACTATGGAGCGATTCAATGAGACACTGCTCTTCTCCATGACAGAAGTGAACTATTTACAAAATGTCGGAAAGAATGCTACAAAAAACATTACTTCAATCCATAAGCTAAAACAAATATTTCACAACACATACTTTTATACACATATCATGTTTTATATACATTATATACATTTTCTATACATCCCACCAGGGTTGGGAAAGTTACCTTTTTTTAACTAAGTTAAATTAAAGTTAACAGTGTTCCAAAATTCACTGCCAGTGCTGAAGATCAATAGTGTATGTAACGTATATTATAAATTTTTAGTGCTAGAAGTGAATTTTGGAATACAGGAACTACCAATATAGACAGGCGCGTGGCGTCTCGCAACGTCTTTGTTTATGGCATGGCTAATTTTAATAAAGATAAATTAAAAGTTAAAAGTTACCGATAAAATATAACTAAATGAAGTTAAAAGTTAACAATTTATACTGTAACTAAGTTAAGTTAGGATTATTTAACTTTTTAACTTTTTAACTTAACATTTATCTTTTTAACTAGACACTACCCAACCCTGCATCCTACATAAAGATATCTTTTAGATGTCCCACATGTTATATGGGATATTATACATATATACATATATTATACTGTGTAGTGTTCCTTGCGGAGAACCGTGGGTGTTCTCTCGTTACGTTCTTTTGGTCGCCCTGAAAAGGGCGGTTGCGTGTGTCGCCCTGAGAAGAGCGGTTACGTGTCTTCTTGGGGCTGTCTAGGCCTGACGTGCCCTGAGTTCCTCTCGGTGAGGATTGCTGCGCCACGTCTACAGGTACAGCCTTGAGTTCGGCCGATCCCTGCGGTGACGTCTGAGTGGCCGCTTTGGTGGTGGCGACTCTGCGGTGTACTTGTGTTCCTTGCTCTCGAAATCGGGCTCCTATACTTGTAATCGGCTCTAGTCTCCACGGGATGTAGCTATGTCCGAGTATCGGTGGAGGCCTAGGCCCCTGGCGTAGTCGCGGATCCGATGGCACTACGGGCTGCGACGGTGGTAGAGGCGGGCCGCGCTCTGGGCTTCCCGGTGGACGTCCTGGTGGTGGGATGTCTCGGAGTCGGCGCCAGACTCGTGGCAGGGTCCTCGCTGGTGTGCCAAGGACCTCAGGGGCTCGCTTGGGTAGATGTCGAGGCCCGTGGAGCTCGCTCGATGGAGATACCGAGGCCCTAGGGGCTCGCTCGGTGAAGATATCAAGGCCTGAGGAAGCTCTCTTGATAGAGATGCCGAGGCCCGCGGGGCTCACTCGGTGAAGATACCGAGGCCTAAGGAGGCTCGCTCGGTGGAGATACCGAGGCCTAAGGAGGCTTGCTCGGTGAAGATATCGAGGCCTAGGGAGGCTCTCTCGATAGAGATTCCGAGGCCCAAGGGGCTCGATCGGGGCAAAATAATCGAGGCCCGTGGGGCTCACTCGATCAACACTTGGTACTGTCGACTACTTCACTCGCGAACTGTCTCCGACAAGAAACACTTATTATTACTTCGTCGTCGCCGGAGGTCTTAATATACCCATCGCCACTGAATTTTGAGTGCGAGTATGCTGTCGGCGCTGGTGGCCACCTCTCGGCAGCGCGCCGAACTACCGCCGTGTCACCGGCGCTCGCAGGAGCGGCGCCGTGACGTGTGGTGCCCGCGCGCCTGATATGGCGTGGGTCGCCACATACTGTATATGTATACATATTCCATAACTCAATATATTTTTGTATGTTTAACAAAATACATAT